ACCCCATTTCACCTCACCTTCTTAGCCTCCCGTGAAGGTCCGGGTTAGAATATTGATCTTCAGTAACCCATGGTGGCTCGCTGACTTGGTTGACACATGTCATCGGTTTCCAATTGCGCAGATCGATGCTCATGCTGTTGATCACAGGATTGTCTGGTTCAGACTCGATTAGTTACAGACCGCCGCCATATAGCTGGAGTATTGCTGAGTGCAGCGTAAAACTAAACTCACTCACTCACTCAGTCTTCTTTCGACACAAAAGTATGGCATGGTATGATCTGACTTATACTTTTGATTTGTTGATATACCTCTTTGGTGCTATGTAATCCCTAAAACAAAATTCACTACTATGCACGCTTTCTATGTCTCACCTTCTCAATCATGCAGGCCTCTTGGAAATATACATAACTCTATATGTTACGGCTGCGTGCGTTAGAATATCGTGCAGAAACACCTTTTACTTTCTAAATTCATATGTGCACGTGTACATGTTTATTTTTCCAGAGAAGTATCTATAATCCTCGTTGGACGTATCTACAAAAACCGTACTATCTTTAACACGATTCCGAACATCGGAAATGGTCTTCTTGCATTGTACCGTTGTGGAAAATCGACCTTTGAATCAAATGCAAAGGGCAGGGACTGGGGGTTGGGTGGTTCTCAATTGCTGGTCCTTAATAACTTCCGTCTACTTCCAAAACCCGTCCATATAAGATGCCATTTTAACGGTTTCTATTAGGAACAATTACTCGTAATAATATTAGGTGTTTGTTAGATACGATGCAGTAATAACTAGATCATAAATCTCCTTACATATTTCGTGCGGTGGGTAGCCTAGTGGTTAAAGCGTTCCCTCGTCACGCCAAAGACCCGGGTTCGATTTTCACATGGGTACAATGTGTGAAGCCCATTTCTGGTATCCCTCGCCGTGTTATTGCTGGAATATTGGTAAAAGCGGCGTAAAACCAAACTCACTCACACATTCCATGATAACAACTCCATACAATAGCCTGAATGCTCTTTACTCAAACTCGTGGATCTTCAGCAAGTTTAGTTTTGTATTCTGATTTATATTGTTTAGCGTGATATACAACAATGACCTGAGGTTCGAGTCAACTGAAGCCATTTAACCCTTCAACCCCCGTGTCAGTGTTTTGATGAACACCCGACAGGACGTACTTTATGCTTATCCTGTAGAGCATATATATATCGCTGGGGATGATTAATTTCAGCCATCTGGAGATGCGATCAAGGTCAAAGCTGCTGTGTATCATGTTGTCGGGGGACAGATTTTATGGACTGACAACTTCCTTTTTGCAACAGGTGCAACGTTTCGGTGTAGATGCTAACACCGTTATCGAGTGCGTGAGTTGGGTTTTACGCTGATTTTAGCAGATAACAATACTCATCAGGTCATTGTTCCGGCAGATAACAATACTCATCAGGTCATTGTTCCAGCAGATGACAATACTCATCAGGTCATTGTTCCAGCAGATAAAAATACTCATCAGGTCATTGTTCCGGCAGATAACAATACTCATCAGGTCATTGTTCCAGCAGATGACAATACTCATCAGGTCATTGTTCCAGCAGATAAAAATACTCATCAGGTCATTGTTCCGGCAGATAACAATACTCATCAGGTCATTGTTCCAGCAGATGACAATACTCATCAGGTCATTGTTCCAGCAGATAAAAATACTCATCAGGTCATTGTTCCGACAGATAACAATACACATCAGGGCATTGTTCCGGCAGATAACAATACACATCAGGGCATTGTTCCGGCAGACAACAATACTCATCAGGTCATTGTTCCGGCAGACAACAATACTCATCAGGTCATTGTTCCGGAAGACAACAATACACATCAGGTCATTGTTCCGGAAGATAACAATACTCATCAGGTCATTGTTCCGGCAGATAACAATACTCATCAGGTCATTGTTCCGGCAGATAACAATACTCATCAGGTCATTGTTCCGGCAGACAACAATACACATCAGGTCATTGTTCCGGCAGACAACAATACACATCAGGTCATTGTTCCGGCAGACAACAATACACATCAGGTCATTGTTCCGGCAGATAACAATACTCATCAGGTCATTGTTCCGGCAGACAACAATACACATCAGGTCATTGTTCCGGCAGATAACAATACTCATCAGGTCATTGTTCCGGCAGACAACAATACACATCAGGTCATTGTTCCGGCAGATAACAATACTCATCAGGTCACTGGTCCGGCAGATAACAATACTCATCAGGCCATTGTTCCGGGAGAAACATTGTTTCGATAATAAACAAAAACACATAACATAAAGGCCAATGCATTTAATGCAAAATATAACCCACATAAAAATAAAACTGTCCAAAAATATCTTCCACAAATATTAGTATCCCGAGCAAATGCCCACCACGTGACTTTTGTTTGGGGGTTGTTGTACATCATATATTACATGGTAAGTGACCGTTCATAATTTATGGCTAAGTTAAGGGTGGTGATGAAGATTTTCACCCATTTTGTTCTTGGGAGGCACGGGGGTCAGCAATTTGGTACATATACAAGTATATTTGAAAATTATGCTTAAAAATTATGGGAAGGGGGCGGGGTGGTAATTGATTTAGTACATGACAAGCAGGGAGGGGTCACTTACTTTGCACAGAAATTCACATTGTACCATCCTCGATATCTCCAGGGTATACGTTACGATCACTCTGCACTATACTATTGTGTTGCCAAGTTTAAACGGTTAGATAATTTAAGAAGTGAAAGTGAGTTGTGACTGGTTCGCTCAACTTCCCAGCGTAGACACCTGATTGGATAATAAGCCAGGCAAGGGAGGTAATAAAATCAACATAAAAAGCCGTGGATGCATCCAGGGTATAGTGCAGAGTGATCGTAACGTATACCCTGGAGATATCGAGGATGACTTTGTACATGCTTCTCCATACAATCATCAAACACCCCCCACCCAAACCATAAATTATGAACGGCCTCTAAGAGGAACTAATGTTAGTCACCCAAGGCAGTGCTTAACAGTTATTGTAGACGTGTGTTTACTCTACAACCAATAAAAAATAGTAAAAGCTGTTTTACCATGTTGATATTAAAACTGACATGTTAGTTTATGTTATACAGTAAACTATGGCATACAGTATATGTTATACAGTAAACTACTCAAAAGGGATAACCGTTGTTCGTTATGATTTACAGGTGCGCGGAACCAAAATAGGCTTGTTATTCACGTCAGTTCCATATAAATGTGTTTTGTTATAACAGGATTAAAACTTCGACACACGGGTAACGAATTTTCATGACGTACTATATACATTTTGAATCAGTTGTAAAACCGTTATTCTAAGTACAACTCAGTACTCGAAATAGAATAATACTTCATAGAATACTGCCTCATCACAGATATTCTATGCATATTTTGCATGAGCCATAATCTTAGCATTCAATGACAAAGTGTAATAAATGGAACCACTATACAATTGAACATGAATACCATTTTCTATTAATTGTATGCCTTTTATAAGGAAAACAGCATATGTACATCCCCAGTTGTCATTGCATGTATTAATGATTGAATCACAAATTTCGATAAACTTTTATGAACATAAATTGTTAAGTTTGTTAAAAGCATTGCTTCATATCTGAAAAGTCAGCAAATCCATTTCATACTTTATTAATGTTTTAAGATATTAAGATATAACATAGTGATTTGTCCCAGATGTCAATGTGAAAAAGGTTATCGTATGTCTTGTAGCCGTAGTAATACATTTCTTCTTTGCAGTTTAAATGCCCTGTAAATATACACATACATTCCACCGTGAATACACGATACCATCCAGACAGTGGACAAGCGAGAGCCGTGTCAGTTTACACTTGTCATGGTGTACACGAAGTACGTGATCCAGACTACCAGTGGACTGACAGGTAGTCACTCAGAATTGTAGGTTTCAGTCACTCCCTCAAATAGTCCCTATATTCACTAGCCCAACTCACTACAGAACATTCTGCCACTGACTACATTCACTAGCAGGCTTCATCACATCATGATATATTCAGTTCAGCCCAAACACCTTTATAGAGCTCTTTACTCCAGCAGCCAGTTCTATGTGAGATTCATTTCCGCTGATACATGTATATAGTATGGAGGTTAATAAGGGCCATAACTCCATGTCGTGTGGCGTTATTGCAATGGTATGTCATATTCTCGCAATGCCTGGTCGGTTACGGCCATGTCGCTGCATGTTATGGTTATTTCGTTTTTGGCTGTATCGTGTCGCGATATCGCATCATACAAACGCTTTGTCGTGATATCGCGCGGATATCTCAAGGTGATATGCATGGAGATGACCCAAATCAGTCACCATATATTAGTGCTGAACTTGTTTCTAAACTACCGTCGTGTTCTAATACCACGTTTAACCTCAATGAAGACATGACATAACATATGTCATTTCGCGAACAATAAATTACGTTTTCCTCCGTTAAGGTCACCTGAGTCGATATTCAACATGTAAGTCTATGAAAGACAAGCATATGCATGCTAAAATAAAGAAAATATCGATTTGCGTCACATTGGTGAATACAAGCATATCAATACAGTGACGACGGCTTGCCGTGAATCAATATGAATAACAATGCAACAGTTGTAATCCATATGGGTGAGTCAGGTGCGGGTAACGCTACTCCGGACAGAATGTCAATGCAACCATGTGTCGACGTGCCAATGTAAGGCGCTGACTGAGAATAGAACCCACGATCAGCGGATCCTGCTTCGGCTTGCTAGAGGACGTGTTGAGTGACTTCCGGTTCCTCCACCTATCTCACCAACCAATCAACACTGACTATATTACACTAGAGGAGAGAGCATGAAGGGGAAACGTAACTGCTGAGAAGATAAAGCAATGACCATTACTACGGCACGTCTGGTTCAGGTAGGTTGGAACACCCAGGGTGTTTTGCACCAAAGGGGTTTCACACCCCCACCCTCTGAAAATTCCTGGATCCGCCTATTTTCGTCATTCCTAATCAGACATTCTCCACTGCTTTCGCAATGAACCAACTATACCAATCAAAAGTGTAATAAATATGTCATAACAGATTCCCACAAGAAAAGGTTACCTTTTCACAATAATCTATACGGATGCCAGCACTAGAAGTGTCATTTACACTATACCGTTGTGTGAAATTCATATATGTATATGTCCCCCTAGAGCCACCTGAATACCAAATGCAATCGCTGCTGCAGCACCGACAACGACAGCACCGGTGACGGCGTATTTCGACACCACGGTCAAGTCCTTGGGGATGAGAAATGAACTGAACTGTGTTGTTAGATGAAACAGTACGTAAGAGATGAACAGGTAAATGATGGTAGCCAGGGCAAAATTCAGAAGCGGCAGATCTACAAGATAGCCCAGCAAATCCTTTGCATTCGACTGCAGGTATATATGAAGCTGTGAGAGATACGTCTCCAGGGTGATCTTGCCCAACCAGGCAAACATATGGATGTAGTATCGCCGGAGTATCGGAAAACTGTTCCGTAACACAATGAAAACAAGTATCGGGATCATGGAAGAATAACAGTGGGTTCTGTTGTATGCATATTTTTCTTTACCCATGAACGTTGTGTACCACAGGACACCGACCGCAAGGGAAACTACGATCATGACAGTCTTGATGCCTATTTGAGTGTATTTTTCTGTCCTGGTCGTCGCTTCCTTTTCAAGTCGTTTCAATAGAGCCTCGAAGTGTGGATAGTTGTAGGCGCATAGCATCCCGGTCAGACACGCCCAATGGTCCAGTCCAGCTCTGAACTCCCATTCATGCATAATGTCGTTTTTCGTTTCGTGTAGGCCAAATATGAACCACAATGGACGAAACAGGGTTGAACATACGCCCGAGATTTCAAATATTAGGGCGTTACAAATTATAAAAGCGGCAAATTTGATCGCCATCTTGACTCTGTCCTTGTTCCAGCTATTGAGAACGCGCATGAATACATAAACACTGATGAACCAGTACGTGTGCATGGCGCAGATGTAGTACAACATGTACTCGTTGTTGGTTGTCATGAGGACGAAAATAACGAGGAAGTTCAGTCTGAACATCATTTTTATAATTCGCCATAGGGAAAAGTCGTTTCTGATCCAGAAGAAGGAAAAGTTGCCTGAAACACAGAAAGGTGAGCGTTTAAGGAGACAACTGTCAAGAAAAATGCATGAAATTTACAAATGAAGGATCAATATATATATATGCATCTGTGTCTAACTGTTGATACTAAATGGAAGTAAGTTGACATCGTATTGAATATGCAATAGACAAGCAATGAGGCCAGATATGGTTATGTTTCATTGAATCTCTATGTCTCTATGTCAGACGGACGCGTTTGAGTCACCCAATAAACCAACACAGTACACACCTATTTCCACTTTGCAGTGTTATCTTACTCTAACAACACCCTGAACACTGCCTCATTACATCGGTAACATCACCCGTTATTCCATCCATGCCTTGGAAATAAAACAACCTCTTCAGCAAGCAAACATCGATAACCGAAGCTTACAAAGGGAACCCTTTCCACCATCTATAGTGATTCCTGTCATAAATACAGCGAATCCTGCCATGTAGAATGAATCCCCCACATCATTTACCGAATCCTCCCATTTAGAATGGAACCCTCCCTACCGCTAGCAAAACCGGTCATTTATAGGGCTGTGCAATATTACCGGTAAACCGGTATATACCGGTACAGTATCTCGCGATACGATATTCGCGATATGGTTCAGATTCTGCAATATAGTGGGTCATCCAGAGTTAGCTCCCTTTGAATTATCTGCCCTTGATTTCCATAGCAGAAAATGTGATCTAAAAGTGCCAAATATATTTTTATTTCTGTTGGTTTCATGTAACATATTACAAGTGGAAGTGTCATTATAAGTGGCTCCAAAAGTGCCAAATATTCTACCAAATGCATTACATTTTGTGGGTTTCAATATGTATTGCAAGTTCGCTTAAGTTATTGCAATATATCGCAATATGAAAATCAGGGCAATATCCAGCCCTAGTCATTTAGAATGAAACCCTCCATATCACCTACCGAATCCTGTCATTTAGTATTAACCCTCCATATCACCTACCGAATCCTGTCATTTAGTATTAACCCTCCACATCACCTACCGAATCCTGTCATTTAGAATGAAACCCTCCACATCACCTACGGAATCCTGTCATTTAGAATGAAACCCTCCATATCACCTACCGAATCCTGTCATTTAGTATTAACCCTCCATATCACCTACAGAATCCTGTCATTTAGTATTAAACCCTCCATATCACCTACCGAATCCTGTCATTTAGTATTAACCCTCCATATCACCTACCGAATCCTGTCATTTAGTATTAACCCTCCATATCACCTACCGAATCCTGTCATTTAGTATTAACCCTCCACATCACCTACCGAATCCTGTCATTTAGTATTAACCCTCCATATCACCTACCGAATCCTGTCATTTAGTATTAACCCTCCATATCACCTACCGAATCCTGTCATTTAGTATTAACCCTCCACATCACCTACCGAATCCTGTCATTTAGAATGAAACCCTCCACATCATCTACCGAATCCTGTCATTTAGAATGAAACCCTCCACATCACCTACCGAATCCTGTCATTTAGTATTAAACCCTCCATATCACCTACGAATCCTGTCATTTAGTATTAAACCCTCCATATCACCTACGAATCTTGTCATTTAGTATTAAACCCTCCATATCACCTACGAATCCTGTCATTTAGTATTAACCCTCCATATCACCTACCGAATCCTGTCATTTAGTATTAACCCTCCATATCACCTACCGAATCCTGTCATTTAGTATTAACCCTCCACATCACCTACCGAATCCTGTCATTTAGTATTAACCCTCCATATCACCTACCGAATCCTGTCATTTAGTATTAACCCTCCATATCACCTACCGAATCCTGTCATTTAGTATTAACCCTCCACATCACCTACCGAATCCTGTCATTTAGAATGAAACCCTCCACATCATCTACCGAATCCTGTCATTTAGAATGAAACCCTCCACATCACCTACCGAATCCTGTCATTTAGTATTAAACCCTCCATATCACCTACGAATCCTGTCATTTAGTATTAAACCCTCCATATCACCTACGAATCTTGTCATTTAGTATTAAACCCTCCATATCACCTACGAATCCTGTTATTTAGTATTAAACCCTCCATATCACATACGAATCCTGTCATTTAGTATTAACCCTCCATATCACCTACCGAATCCTGTCATTTAGTATTAAACCCTCCATATCACCTACGAATCCTGTCATTTAGTATTAACCCTCCATATCACCTACGAATCCTGTTGTTCAGAATGAAACCTTCCATACTGATTCCTGTAATTAAGAATGGTCCTTCCCCACCCCTTGACGATTCCTGTCAGTGGAACCGCTTCCTGCTACGTACCGAATCCTGTCATCCAGACATAACAGGCGATGTAGACTCGAATCCAGTTGTACCACTCCTTGGCCGCGAAGTAGTGGTACCACACAAACATCACCTGCATCCAGCCCTTCCACTCCTCCGTCTGCTCCCTGGACAGACAACGTAACCGTTCACAATGATTATTGTCTCGTCTCTTACTCTGCGTTATTTGTACGGTGCCTTGTGTGTTTGTCCTCCGCAGGAATCCTAACCGGAAGCCCACAAAATTGACGCCATGTTTAAATTTGGCACATTATGTTATTCATGCTTTGTCAGTCATGTGTATGTGTTTTAACGGTACATTCAGCACTCTTTCAGCTCTATGACGGCGGCCTGGAAATATTCAAACTGGGCCTGATTGGCTCATAGTGCCACGTGTGATCCAAGGGTATCGCAATACTTAAAGGTACCATTCGTCTCATGTTTAGATCTCACACCAGACAATCCAGTGAGTGATATTAAGAAGCTTATGGCGATGACATCCAATCATCCGATTCATTTAGCAGTCCCTAACGACCAGCCCGGAATGACCACGGTCCTGAACGTTATTGTCTTGAGAGTATGGTCGTTGTAGTCGTTAATGACGGTAACATTAATGATATTATGGAAGACCACCACCACAATGGCCTTCGCCGTCTCACCACCAGCATAATCAACTACTCTGCCTTTAACAGATACACAGATTACCATTATCGGCATGTGCATTACAGACGCTCATTGCTATGTAGTATCTACTCCTAAGACTTTAACGCCATAGAGAAACTAAAGGATGCAATAAAGAACTAATCTTTTTCAGTGAGTGAGATAATATTAATATTTAGCGCCACACTGCAATATTTCAGCCATATCGTGACGAGAACGATTTCTATTTTAAAGATCCTAATCATATTCAAACTTCAAACTTGCACTGCTTTGAAATTGCGGAGGACAGCGCGTGTATCTAGCGCGAATCTGTCGCTTATCTGTTGTAATAAATCTGCATGGTTCTAAAAAGCAGATTTTTAAGGGAGCAAGTGTCTTTTTTCAACACCTGATCTTTTGTAATTAGCCGGCGTAGAGTGGAGGCGTCTTACCTGTTAAGAATGATATCCTTAGTTGGCTTGATGGTGAACACACACGCTACGAGGAACAGAAGGAACACCAGGAACAGGTAGGTGTCCCGATTGTACACGCGGGGCATGGCCGGGAACACCTGCAGAAAACACGTGATTTAGTACGTACCCTTCAGTGTCATCAAATACAAAACTGTAGTTAGCAGGTGAGTGGGGTTTGTTTAACACCGCATTGAGTGAGTGAGTGAGTTTAGTTTTACGCCGCATTCAGCAATATTCCAGCTATATGGCGGCGGTCTGTAAATAATCGAGTCTGAACCAGACAATCCTGTGATCAACAGCATGAGCATCGATCTGCGCAATTGGAAACCGATGACATGTGATGCAGCTATTCACTGATATCTAAGAGCTAGGGATAAAACGGTATACCGCGGTATTAGTAGAACCACGGTATTTTGCCTTTGGTTAGGCGTACCGTAATGCAATCCAAAAATTCGGTATTACGGTTTTCGTACCGTCATTTTTGTTAACCTTTTCTAGAAAACAAATCATTTTGTCAAAATCTATCTAGGTTTGGCACTTGTCAATTTTCTGCATTATGATCACGTGATGTACCGAACCGAAACGGACCGAACCGAAGACCTTGTACCGCAATACGCACCGTGGTAAAAGCGTATCGTTTCACCCCTACTAAGAACATGGGGATGACCATTCCATAATCATAACCAGCATTCGAACCCACTGTCATAGGTTTCTCTCACACCCAAGGGAGACGACTCTGCGCAGCGAATAGTCGCGCCTTTGATGAATGGTAACACGTGTCCGAACAGAATCATGGCGAACAAAGCTTAACTGATTTGATAGGACAAACATTCGTGGGGAAATAATATTTACCTTACGTCAGATCCTTTATGTTATAGTCTCTGCTCATGTGGAATCAATATTTAGTGGACAAAAGAACGTAATGTGTCAGTTGGGTTGTGTTCAACAAAAGATTGAGCAGTTTTTCAGTAATCGAGTTGACTAGGAAACTTTATCAGTTCATCTGCCAAATTTTATGTCTAAAGAGGTTTTTCATTATCTCTGATGGATATAATGTCCTCGATTAGTTACTTTACTTATATTTTTATTACAATGCATTCTGTCCCATCATTTTCCTTCAATGTGTGAATGATATTACGTGGCACAGCTGGCAATATCAGTGTCGTCTACGTGGTGTAACACCTTGTAAATATATGTATCCCACAACAGTGGGTAAAGAATGAGCAACGATGTGCATCGACGGGAACGGTGGCCTCCAAACAGACAGGTCCTATCCGATCCTTATTTAAGTCTACTCTGTGAACAAGCGTAGTGCTATTATTCAACCAAGCAATCCTCAAGGGGAGTTATGAGACGAAAGCCATGCTGAAAATGCATTATATCATTCTACTTCGCATGAAAAACTCTCCTTTGTTTTGTTTGTTGTTGTTACTGTTTGGGGAAATTGGATTCAGCAATATTCGAGCTATGTGACGGCGTTCTTTAATAATGGACCTGATGGACGAGTGATTGGCATTAAAAGCAATGTTCCTTAAAATTGCTGACACGAAATCAACTATGGTCGGGAGCATGACCATCAGGTTTGTTAATCGGCTCCGACGACAATCATAGGTTGTTTGGACCCTATTCCAACCTGGCTTCTCTGCGGTTTTACCATTGAGTGAATATCTAATTACTGAATATATACTAACGTGCCGTTTTGGAAGATTGCAAAGGACATACCTTGATGTAATCACAGAAGAAGTAATACCCCATGATGGCACCAAATACAATTACGTATTTGAGGAAAGCATCAAACGTTGGAGGGGGCGGAGGTGAGGGTGTCTTCTTGGTTTGGACGCTTTCGTTGTCGTTCCCTTTGTCAACGTTTGAGTCGTTACCATTTTTAACCTCTACTGCAACGTGATTGGAGACTGGCTTTGTGTCATGCGTTCTTTCCACATCCGGTTCCGGTTGGGCTTGTTTGCCTCTGACGAAGGAGCGTGGCAGTCTGACTGCATATAGGAACGTCACGCCGACGTAGATAATAAATAACGTCAACTGACACAAAGTGACTTCGTGGTGTGGCTGCCTGTGATCGTCAAACACAACGCCCTTGTCAGACGTGAGTCCCGCCATGCTTTTCTTTATGACTCGATCGACGAAGTGACTCCCCATGGACTGAAACAGATAGCATTGGGATGATTGTATGTAATTATTTCAGAATGATTTCGTGGATTCGAATCCCGGATTCTACGTGTTTTGACCCGTAACCGCACAGCCTGTACCCTTGACCATACACCCTGCCCAACACATCACCACGTGCCTTAAACCCTGGTACAGTGGCGGATCGTAGGGGGTGGGGTGTCACCCCCACCCCCCACCCCTTTGAAAAAGACCACATTGAAGTTAATGTTTTGCAATGGCAGAGCCAAGGTGGGGTTCACCTGAAACACACACACACACACACACACACACACACACACGCTCGATCCGCCTATGCTGCTTCACATAATAACAATGGCTCAGATTGTAGTTACACCCTTTATTCTCTTCATCCTGGTCAACACAATAACCGTGAGTATTGTTTACACCCTACACACTCCCTAGCACCTGTACCTGGGTGTTTATTCTCTTCATCCTGGTCAACACAATAACCGTGAGTATTGTTTACACCCTTCCTAGCACCTTTACCTGTGTGTTTATTCTCTTCATCCTGGTCAACACAATAACCGTGAGTATTGTTTACACCCTACACCCTCCCTAGCACCTGTACCTGTGTGTTTATTCTCTTCATCCTGGTCAACACAATAACCGTGAGTATTGTTTACACCCTACACCCTCCCTAGCACCTGCACCTGTGTGTATTCTCTTCATCCTGGTCAACACAATAACCGTGAGTATTGTTTACACCCTACACCCTCCCTAGCACCTGTACCTGTGTGTTTATTCTCTTCATCCTGGTCAACACAATAACCGTGAGTATTGTTTACACCCTACACCCTCCCTAGCACCTGTACCTGTGTGTTTATTCTCTTCATCCTGGTCAACACAATAACCGTGAGTATTGTTTACACCCTACACCCTCCCTAGCACCTGTACCTGTGTGTTTATTCTCTTCATCCTGGTCAACACAATAACCGTGAGTATTGTTTACACCCTACACCCTCCCTAGCACCTGTACCTGTGTGTTTATTCTCTTCATCCTGGTCAACACAATAACCGTGAGTATTGTTTACACCCTACACCCTCCCTAGCACCTGCACCTGTACCTGTGTGTTTATTCTCTTCATCCTGGTCAACACAATAACCGTGAGTATTGTTATTGTTTACCCTCCCTAGCACCTGTACCTACACCCTCCCCTGGTCAACACAATAACCGTAGCACCTGTCCCTACACCTGTACCTGTGTGTTTATTCTCTTCATCCTGGTCAACACAATAACCGTGAGTATTGTTTACACCCTACACCCTCCCTAGCACCTGTACCTGTGTGTTTATTCTCTTCATCCTGGTCAACACAATAACCGTGAGTATTGTTTACACCCTACACCCTCCCTAGCACCTGTACCTGTGTGTTTATTCTCTTCATCCTGGTCAACACAATAACCGTGAGTATTGTTTACACCCTACACCCTCCCTAGCACCTGTACCTGTGTGTTTATTCTCTTCATCCTGGTCAACACAATAACCGTGAGTATTGTTTACACCCTACACCCTCCCTAACACCTGTACCTGTGTGTTTATTCTCTTCATCCTGGTCAACACAATCCTGGTATTGTTTACAACACCCTCCTAACCCTATTGTTTCATCCTGGTCACACCTCCGTGAGTACACCCTCCCTCCCTAACACCTGTACCTGTGTGTTTATTCTCTTCATCCTGGTCAACACAATAACCGTGAGTATTGTTTACACCCTACTAAACACAGCACCTCAAAAACAATACCTGTGCTTATGAGTTTACACCCAACGTGCTGCTCAAAACAATAGCTGTGCTAATGAGTTTACACCCAACGTCCTGCTTAAAAACAATACCTGTGCTAGTGAGTTTACACCCAACGTCCTGCTTAAAAACAATACCTGTGCTTATGAGTTTACACCCAACGTCCTGCTTAAAAACAATACCTGTGCTAGTGAGTTTACACCCAACGTTCTGCTTAGAACAATACCTGTGCTAATGAGCTTACACCCAACGTCCTGCTTAAAAACAATACCTGTGCTAGTGAGCTTACACCCAACGTCCTGCTTAAAAACAATACTTGTGCTATTGAGTTTACACACAACGTCCTGCTCAAGAACAATACCTGTGCTAGTGAGTTTACACACAACGTCCTGCTTAAAAACAATACCTGTGCTAGTGAGTTTACACCCAACGTCCTGCTCAAAAACAACACCTGTGCTATTGAGTTTACACCCAACGTCCTGCTAAAAAACAATACCTGTGCTAGTGAGTTTACACACAACGTCCTGCTTAAAAACAATAGCTGTGCTAGTGAGTTTACAGACAACGTCCTGCTTAAAAACAATACCTGTGTTAGTGAGTTTACACACAACGTCCTGCTCAAAAACAACACCTGTGCTATTGAGTTTATACACAACGTCCTGCTCAAAAACAATACCTGTCCTAGTGAGTTTACACCCAACGTCCTGCTAAAAAACAATACCTGTGCTAGTGAGTTTACACACAACGTCCTGCTTAAAAACAATACCTGTGCTAGTGAGTTTACACACAACGTCCTGCTCAAAAACAACACCTGTGCTAGTGAGTTTATACACAACGTCCTGCTATAAAACAATACCTGTCCTAGTGAGTTTACACACAACGTCCTGCTAAAAAACAATACCTGTGCTAGTGAGTTTACAGACAACGTCCTGCTTAAAAACAATACCTGTGCTAGTGAGTTTACACACAACGTCCTGCTTAAAAATAATACCTGTGCTAGTGAGTTTACACACAACGTCCTGCTATAAAACAATACCTGTGCTAGTGAGTTTACACCCAACGTCCTGCTCAAAAACAATACATGTGCTAGTGAGTTTACACACAACGTCCTGCCAAAAAACAATACCTGTGCTAGTGAGTTTACACCCAACGTCCTCCCCAAAAACAATACCCCTGCTAGTGAGTTTACACACAACGTCCTGTTTAAAAACAATACCTGTGCTAGTGAGTGTTGTGTATTTGAATCTTATACACAAGGCCGTGGCCGAACAGAACACAAAATACCATGACTTCTACGTCGAGCGTTTACTCAGGAAGTGGGGGTTACAAGCAGGGGTCCCCAAGGGACGAAACTCTAATCAGCTTGCCGCTACCGTCACATAAGGCTGCAGGAGTTGTCTCCCATACATGTATCTGCCACACAAGCCCATACACTACAGTGAGTTTACACACAACGTCCTGTTTAAAAACAATACCTGTGCAAGTGAGTGTTGTGTATTTGAATCTTATACACAAGGCCGTGGCCGAACAGAACACAAAATACCATGACTTCTACGTCGAGCGTTTTTCAGGAAGTGGGGGTTACAAGCAGGGTCCCCAAGGGACGAAACTCTAATCAGCTTGCCGCTACCGTCACATAAGGCTGCAGGAGTTGTCTCCAATACATGTATCTGCCACACAAGCCCATACACTACAGTGAGTTTACACCCAACGTCCTGCTTGAAAAAAATACCTGTGCTAGTGAGTTTACACACAACGTCCTGCTAAAAACAGTACCTGTGCTATTGAGTTTACACCCAACGTTCTGCTTAGAATAATACCTGTGCTAATGAGCTTACACTCAACGTCCTGCTTAAAAACAATATTTGTGCTTATGAGTTTACACACAACGTCCTGCTGAAAAGTAGTACCTGTGCTATTGAGTTTACACACAACGTCCTGTTTAAAAACAATACCTGTGCTAGTGAGTTTACACACAACGTCCTGCTTGAAAACAATACCTGTGCTAGTGAGTTTACACACAACGTCCTGCTTAAAAACAATACCTGTGCTAGTGAGTTTACACCCAACGTCCTGCTAAAAAACAATACCTGTGCTAGTGAGTTTACAGACAACGTCCTGCTTAAAAACAATACCTGTGCTAGTGAGTTTACAGACAACGTCCTGCTTAAAAACAATACCTGTGCTAGTGAGTTTACACACAACGTCCTGCTATAAAACAATACCTGTGCTAGTGAGTTTACACCCAACGTCCTGCTCAAAAACAATACATGTGCTAGTGAGTTTACACACAACGTCCTGCCAAAAAACAATACCTGTGCTAGTGAGTTTACACCCAACGTCCTCCCCAAAAACAATACCCCTGCTAGTGAGTTTACACACAACGTCCTGTTTAAAAACAATACCTGTGCTAGTGAGTGTTGTGTATTTGAATCTTATACACAAGGCCGTGGCCGAACAGAACACAAAATACCATGACTTCTACGTCGAGCGTTTACTCAGGAAGTGGGGGTTACAAGCAGGGGTCCCCAAGGGACGAAACTCTAATCAGCTTGCCGCTACCGTCACATAAGGCTGCAGGAGTTGTCTCCCATACATGTATCTGCCACACAAGCCCATACACTACAGTGAGTTTACACACAACGTCCTGTTTAAAAACAATACCTGTGCAAGTGAGTGTTGTGTATTTGAATCTTATACACAAGGCCGTGGCCGAACAGAACACAAAATACCATGACTTCTACGTCGAGCGTTTACTCAGGAAGTGGGGGTTACAAGCAGGGGTCCCCAAGGGACGAAACTCTAATCAGCTTGCCGCTACCGTCACATAAGGCTGCAGGAGTTGTCTCCAATACATGTATCTGCCACACAAGCCCATACACTACAGTGAGTTTACACCCAACGTCCTGCTTGAAAAAAATACCTGTGCTAGTGAGTTTACACACAACGTCCTGCTAAAACAGTACCTGTGCTATTGAGTTTACACCCAACGTTCTGCTTAGAATAATACCTGTGCTAATGAGCTTACACTCAACGTCCTGCTTAAAAACAATATGTGTGCTTATGAGTTTACACACAACGTCCTGCTGAAAAGTAGTACCTGTGCTATTGAGTTTACACACAACGTCCTGTTTAAAAACAATACCTGTGCTAGTGAGTTTACACACAACGTCCTGCTTGAAAACAATACCTGTGCTAGTGAGTTTACACACAACGTCCTGCTTAAAAACAATACCT